CTCTGCATTATGTTCCTTAGAGCACTGCTTTGCATAAGAGTCTATTTCTTGGAAAAGCTCAACAGGGGAAAAATAGAACAAAAGGGGCTCTGATAGTTAAAGCATAAGTTAGCTGGGTGTAGCTGGCAGAGTAGGGGCAGATGAGAGAGCAGGGCTGGTGGGAGGGCACATGCCTTTTGGCTGAGGCCCAGATTTACAGATTCCTCAGTGATGGGCCAAAATCTCTTATGAAGATGGCTCAAGGCCTAGCAGATCTGAGATGAGCTTTATGAATGAGGGGAATAGACAGACTGATTCTTCAACCTGTCACTCACATGTCTTCTTAGGATGAGCTCCCATGGCCTGCCTAGTCTGAGGACACTATGACCATATTGTTTCCTTCCTTTTGCAGAAGAGCCTGGGGACACCACCCACTAGTCTTCACCACTCTTGCCTGCATCTTAAATGTTTCACTGGAATTACGGCAGGGCTATAGGACATAGGCTTTGAAGTTTAACAATCTGCATGAAATCAATAATCTAGCAAAGCTTCTCACTTGCTTCATTTGCTCTTGTTGGATTCCTAATTTGGAGGTCACTGCTTGCAGAAAAATATGTAGAGCATTTGGCTGCCATGTCTTACCTTCTGTCTGTATGTGTGCACCTTGTATGTGTGTGTGTGTGTGTGTGTGTGTGTGTGTGTGTGTGTGTGGTGACCTTGTGCCCAGTGTTTGGGGCTGTAATTTCTAGGTACTGTGAGATGGGTTGGTTACACGATGGTGAAATTTAGGGCTTGGAGCTCAACAAAGTCCCACAGAAAGGTAGAGGGCTGGTGACAAGAGGTCAACTGTTAGGAATGCCTGAACTCTGAGGCATGGGCATGGGGTGCTGGGCGACCAAGAAGCTATGCTCACGGCGATGTCTCGCTAGTGACCAGTAGATGGTGCTCTGTCAACAGGAAAGGACAGCTACAGTCCTCTGAGGCTGCACAAGGATTTTCCCGATGGTCTTCAAACTGATTTCCAGTCAGTGTTCTGACTAGAAGCTGATTCTCCACACTTCCATTTATGGGTTTTTAAGGGGACAGTGGAACCAGGAGTACTGGAAGAAAAACGTCCACCAAATTCCCTTAGGAGGAGCATTATGGCAATGAGCTGATCTCTCTTGAGGGTAGTAGAAGTGTTACCAGCATGGTGCTAGAAGCATTTGGTCACTGATGAAATTCAATTTGAGGGTGGTAGGCATAGTGGGTTCTTAAGACTTCCGTAGTCTCCACATCATTGCAGAGTTTCTTCTCCTGATGATGAACAGTTTGGAACTGAGTAAAAGTCCACACTCTGCCTCTTATCAGACCTGGACAAAAGGCTTTACGTTTCTGAAACTCTGCTTTGTGTGTCAAATCAGGGTCATAATACATGCATTGCCAGGCTGACCTCAGAGGTTTGCAGGGAGGCCCAGCTGTCTGTTTATGTAATCTGATAACTACTGAACAAGTTATTACTTAACCATTGAAATTGTAGCTGTCTGGCAACTGGGAGAATGTGGATTGGAGAGCATGAAGCCAGTGTAGACATGTAGATCTCAAGGCTCTCAAGAGCTTGGACAGCTAGGTACAGGGTGAAGAAGGGAATGTGCCTTCCCACCAACATTGCTGTCTTTAGGACAGGTCCCTTGCCAAAGCCATTGGCACCACCATGTTTGCCTCCCCATCCCCTTGGGCTGCACCCTCCTTAAATGAATCTCCCTTTTAAGTTCCAGACATAGGTTCTGCTTCTCGCAGTGGGCTCTCACATCACCCCCAGCCCATGCATTTGTGAAGCCTGCTCCCTGGGAAGGCAGGAAGACAGTCTCAGCTCCAGTGGGTCCTCAGTCTCCACCTAGGGTATCCTGTCTGGAGTATTCTAAGTCTCTGAGGAGTGGCAGCAGCTACAGAGAACACAGGACACGACAAGAGTGGAAAGGGGATTAACATGGGAACTTGTGAGTGGGTGACATTGAGGAGATGAGTCAGGGGTGCCTGATCTTCCAAGAACTAATATAATACTAGGAGGTAAAAAAACTAGTGAACCCTGCTCATCCTGGGAGTTCACAAAAGGCAAACCACCCTCCAGCCTGCCAAAGCAGGACAGGAAAGGAAGGGGTAAAGTCTCAGCGTGAGAGTGAGGTCCAGGAAGCATTCTAGACCTTGAGGCTGCGTGAGCAGATCAAATTTACCCTAAGAAGAAGATACATTATTTATGTCATCGTCCATTTTGTTCATTATTGTGTCCTCAGTGCCTAATACAGTGCCTGGCTCAGGGAAGGTGTGTAAAAGTATTTGTCAAATGAATGATTTGAGTGGATCTTGTGCTATGGATTCTGGCCCACCTGGAAAGCAAGGGCATGCACTTGATAATTTCTAAAAGCCCTTTCTAGTCCTGTGAAGTTCACAGGGTACTGAGACAGCCACTTGTGATGGTTCTAAGTGACTGTCTGATGGTCACTGTCCCTCTCCTTTCATTTTGACTAGGTAGTTAGAAAGAAGAGGACCTCTACTTCAGGTGATAAGGACAGAGAAAGGCAGGACAGTGAAATCAGAATGACAATTAGAGCTGGCTCACCTTGAATAGTAAATTTGGCCAAAAGTGGACTTATCTGAATCAAAAGGTCAACAAGCTGCACCCCGAGGCAGCAGTGCCTGCTGGGGGTGGACACCTTGAGACCATTTCTTTGGGTTTTCAGCACTGAAAGAGTTTTCCCCACACATACACACACTCCCATGTACTCTCACACAATAGACACGTGTCAGTGCTCACATGGCCTTGCCTACACACACAGGAACACACGTAGGAACACACGTGCCTCCCATTCAGATGTCACCTCCCTTCTCACCAATTAACCTCACACACACAAAGCCACACTCACCCATGATCTTCAACTTCTGGGCTGTGGTCAGCCTTTGTTCCCTTCCTCCGCCACTCCTTGCCCCCACTCCTCCCATTGCTCAGGTGGGATTTGGACAGGACTATGTGTTGAAGGACAGGCAGGGAAAAGCAGAAGAAGGTAGTGTGGACATGGTAAGGGACAGCTCTCTGCCCTCAGTTCAAAACACTCAGTCACCTGTGGGGAAGGGCTTGGTCGCTAAGCACAGGGGTTCTTTTTATGGGGCTTCTAGTCCACCTCCTCTCTCTCCAGTTCCAATACTAATCCCGTGTTTTGCTTCATTAATGGGGTAGGCTTGCGAAAGTCAGTGGGGCTTATTTGGGAATAAAAGACTGGGGCGAGGAGATCCCTGTTAGGATTGTGAGATGGGAAGGTTTAGCTCAGCCCTCACCGTTCAGGACCTGGGATATTTGGACCACTCTTCCAGGAGGTGAGGCACAGGGCTCTGCTAGAATGGAACCCAGGTGGCAGCACATTAGTAGAGGGAGGGCAGCGACTCCCCCGGGAGTGGAGCCCGCAGAGGCCCCAGGGAGATAAGAAGAGAGGCTGGAAAGAGGGTGCCTTCTTCTCCCTGGAAATCCCTGGTGGTGTTCGCGGAGCCTGGGAGGTGCTGGGCTAGTGGCGACGCGGCCCTGGTGAGCGGTGCGCAGGGCGCAAAGGCCCGGACTCCTCGATAGGGCGGCGGCGGCCCGGCACTGCGCGGCACTGAATGGGACACAGCACTGCAGACCCCTCTCTGCGGGAACGCGAGGCTTGAGTGTTGTGCACCCCACGCCAGCCCCCGCTCTCCTGCGGAGACTCCGCCAAGCCGCCAGCGCCCGCATCCTCAGCATTACTTGGGGGGAAAGGCGATTCTACCTTGGACCTTTGCAAAGGTGGCCCACTACCCTCCGGCCAGAGAAGCAATTAGGCAAACCAGCTTCGCCTCCCAGGACCCTTCAGCCTCCGGGCTGCAAGCCGCCCCTCCCCCGCGCCCCGGCCGCTTCGCCGCGCCTCCGCGCTCTGTTCCCTCTCGCCCTGCTCGCTCCCGCCTCTCCTGCGTCTTCTCTGCTCAGTGCAGCTGGGCGGGCTGGGTGCAAAAGGAAGACCTGGTCGTTACTGAGGAAGTTCGGTCCTTAGACAAGTCCCGTGCCGGGCCACCGCTAGGCTGACTGCAACCTGTTCCTCCCTCGCCCGAAAGCTCGCCCGCCCGCCCGCTGGCGCTCCCGCCCTCTCCCCGGCGCAGCCGCGGATCGCTGTTGCATGCTGATCCGGGGAGGCGGCGGCGGTGGCGGCGGCAGCGAGCGCTCCGGGCGGATGCTGGCACTCGGGTTTCGCCGCTCTCTGGATGCTGCTCAACTTCTACCCCAAACGCAGGAGCTGTAAAGTCATTTGTCCCTCTTGGGCTGGATCGACTTCGTATTTTGATATTTTGGGCGTTGCGGTTTACGCAGGAACCTCTATACCGCTCTCCCCCCTCCCTCCCTCTCTCTCCAACCTTTGGATGCGTCTGTGCTGGCAGATTTAAAGACCCAAGTCTTGGCTGTGGAATTTCTTAGATGGACTTGCAGGGGATGGCGTTATAAAGCATGTCACCGTAACCCGTCTTCGTCTTTTCTGCTTTTCAAAGTTCTTTTGTTTTCATTTTCCCTCCCTCTCTACCCCTCCCCCAACCAATAAATCACCAAACTGTTACCTAGCGGGCCGGTTGCCTGCCTCTTTTCCTGAACTAGGTGGTGCGTCTGCCAGAAGAGGAGCTATGTTTGAAGAGCAGCCTACTCCACCCCTCTCCTCTCTGGTCCCTGAACACCACCACACGCTGGCATTTTGAAGAAAAAAAAAATTGCCTCCAGAAACTGAGCACCCCCAAGCCCTACCCCCCCCCCTTTTTTTCTTCTTGAGGAATGGAGCTTCGCAGAGGTTGTATTTAGATTCAACAGTTCAGAGCGGCGGTGCTGCTGCCGCCGCCGCCTCTCCGAAGAGCTCGCGGGCTCCCCAGAGGCGGTGGTCCCCGTGCCTTGTCTGGATGCGGCTCTGAGTCTCCGTGTGTCTTTCTGCTTATTGCTGTGTGCGGGTGTTCGGCGATCACCTTTGTGTGTCTTCTGTCTGTTTAAACTTCAGGATGGCTCGCTTCGGGGAGGCGGTGGTCGGCAGGCCGGGGTCGGGCGATGGAGACTCGGACCAGAGCAGGAACCGACAAGGAACCCCCGTGCCGGCCTCGGGGACGGCGGCTGCCTACAAGCAGTCGAAAGCGCAGAGGGCGCGGACTATGGCTTTGTACAACCCCATTCCCGTCCGGCAGAACTGTTTCACCGTCAACAGATCCCTGTTCATCTTCGGAGAAGATAACATTGTCAGGAAGTACGCCAAGAAGCTCATCGATTGGCCATATCCTTTCTTACCCACCATAACTCCCCTCTTCCCCTCTGCTTTTCTTCGGGTGAGGGGGGACGACTAGCATGGAATTAATCCCCCACCCCTTCCTGGTGCCAATTTGCCCCTTTGCCGAAGTGCACTCTTTACTCCGTTCCATCTAAGGGGCAAGCTTGGTGCCATGGATACCTGTTTGGGCACTAGTGTTTTACAAGGTAAGACTTTTGGTTTTTGATTTTTCCTATGTGGAAATCTCTAGCGTCTCTGAGTGCGTGGTGTTGCGGTGGTGCCTGTCCTTTTTTGGGCTGGGCTTTGTCTCATTCACGGCCCCCCAGACCTTTCACAAGCTGCACTCTACATAGATGGGGTTGACCCTAATCCCAGGGCTTTCTTTCATACCAGTTGTCCCTTTTCCACCCTCAAAGCCAGCCCTTCTGCCCCAGATCCTACCAGCTGGAGAGACACCTGCACTGTCTTCCAGTAGAGAAGTGGACGATCCATGGGCGAATTTATCAGTTCAGACGCTTCCTGAGCACTGGGCCAACACCATGTATACAAATAGACAAATGAATAAATAAAACAGGCATTTGGCTAGGGACCCAGCTAACTCTGGGGACTAAAGTTTAAGTTCCACTGAAAGTGGAGCAAGTGAGTATCTGTCAGGAGAGGATATCTCTGCCACCACTGCCCAAACTGCTCAAAGTTGGAGTTCTCTTCTTGGCCAAGGAAGAGCAGCTCATCAGGGCCCATCCGCTCCTTCTCTTTCATCCTGGGTTGGGTAGTCCTATTTCTTAGCATTTGACTCAGCTCATTGCTCTCCCAATACCCAGGATCAGACAGATCTGCTGGGCCTGAATTCATCAGTGATGACCAGAAGTGTGCAAGCAATCTGGATTCTCCCTTCAAAGGGACTGCTCTTCATAAAGAGCAAGTGGGGACATCTCTGGTGGTGGTGGTGTCTGAATAGCACTGAAGGAGTTCTTTGCAGGTTTAATCAAATGCACCAAATGCAGGCTGCTGATTAGGCATCTGGCTGCCTTGTTCTTCACTAAGAATTTAGGTCCCTGGCAAGGCCTTTAGGATTTGGAGGTGGTGGGACAGTGAAGGGGATTGGTAGGAGGCAAGCAAGTGAAGTGGTGTTAAATATGGGGGTGGACTTGAAGAAAGGGACTTGGATGCTCCTTGGAGGGACATTTCTTGGGAAGGATGCACCTGCAAAGGAGGCTCCTCCTCTTCTCCCCGTAACCCTCCTTCCCACCCTCACCCTCCAGGTGTGCAGCAGTGAGACAGCTGGAGCTGCGGGGGTCTCTAGTATCAGCCAGGCAGGGGATTCACTTCCCCCTGGGGCCTGAGCATCTTCCTGCCACCCCCACCTCAGTTTCTGGCCTTCCCTTTTTCCTCCCCTAGTTCCCTGCTTCAGCAGCTTCGCGATTGGCTGGCGCGTGGTGCTTCTAGGCAGCACCCCTTCATTGGAAGCGAAGGAGCATCTCTAAGCAGATATTCTTCCTGCTGCTGTTCACGTCCTCCCACAACCACCCCTGGCCGGCTTCTCCCTCTTGCCTCCTCTCCGCATTCCCACCCCCACAGAGAGATCCCGGGCTGTGCAGTGACTGAATTGAACGTGTCTAGGTGGGGGTTCGGGGCGGGGGAGGGGTCCGGCCCCTGCAGTCACGCCAGCCTGGGAGCTGCACAAAGCGGACAGATCTCATTGTGTTGCGTGCTGCGGCTGCAAATAACTCCTCGGGGCAGGTCTCTACCGCTTTCCCAGTCGGGGGGGGGGGAGGCTCCCGACCCTCCCCACTCCCCCCGTCCGCTTTCCACAATTCTCCCCAATTTTCCCACCCACCCGGCTCCGCTTTGCTGTGCCCCTCTCTTAGGGCGTGTTCATTCAGACAGGCGCCCTTCAGTTTTCTTGCGCTAGACAAAGCCGCCCAGCTGCCCCGCGGGTGGCAAAGTGTGCCAGCAGCCATCGTTGGCACCTCGGACAGCGCCAACGAAACTCCCGTGGCGTCTCTGGGCTCCCCACTCAGCCGAGTTCAGCACCTCGGCTACTTCCGGCTGGGCCCAAGCTCCAGGGCTGGAAACGATGTACGTTTCCTGCACCATGCGGTTGCCTCCTTTCCCGTTTTCTCTTCCGCTGCAAAGACATCGCCTTTCCACCAGGCGCTGTGAGCGCAAGGTGTGGCTGTGAATCTTACTCCTCCCTTCTTTGTCTTTGGCCAAAATGGACCAAAGAGAGTCAAAGGACAGACGCCCCAGGGAGTCGATTTCAGCATCAAGCTCAGCACCTTGGCCAGAAGCCCTGTCCCAATGGTCTTTTTCCGTCTCCACGTTGGAAACTTTACAGTGAATTCTACAGCCTCTAGGCTGTTCTAACAGTGTTCTGAGAACATGTGCTAACGCTCTTATTGGAGCCCAGTTGGAAAATTTAAAAATACACTGTTTGTTTTTTTTATTCTGGCTGTACAAGGTAATTGACTAATATATTCCCTCTGGTGGTGAGCACGTGGAAACATTGCGCCTCCATGGGCCACTTTTCTTCAAAACCACAGCTAAGTTCTTAGTCTCACCTTCCGTTTTTTTTTTTTTTTTCGGTCCAGTTACTGAAATGTCTTTCTTTTTCTTACTGGGAGTCAGTAAGTAGTGGTTACCCATGAAATTTGGAGTTAAACTGCCTGGGTTTAAATCCTAGTTCTGTCACAAACTGTGACCTTGAAAAGTTATTTCATTCCTCTGTGACTCAGTTTCCTTATCTTTATAGTGGAAATGATAATAATGAGTTACTGGGGGAATTAAATGAGTTAATGTATATCAAGTGCTTAGAACATTACTCTATTACCTAATAAACATTGGATTGTCCTTTAGAAATTTCAGCAACACCCAAAGGGCGGGGTCTTAGTTCAAGGTGCAGTTGTTTAGATTTTTGTATCTCAAAGAGAATAAGGTGTTACACCTGCATTACTTGGGCACTTGTTAAAAATTCAGAGTCCTGGGCCCCACACCAGGCCTACCGAATTAGAATCTGTTTAAACAAAGATCCCTAGATGATCACTATGTACTTAATTGACTAATGTGTCTCTTGTGGTGGTGACCAGTTCGGGAAGTGCTTCTCTGCTCTTTGTAGGGGCAGAATTCTTAAAAACAAGAAAGTTGTTCAAGAACATGTCAAGACCTGCTTTAGTACTGACATATTTTGCATGCAGCATGTTTGAGGAGTTTGATTGCACTACTCCAGCTTGTGAGACTTGAACTTTTTTTAGCCACAGAAAGTCACTGTGGAACCAGGAGAATAATGTGCTCTTGTGTGTGCCATATGTGTTTTAATCTTATTGGTCTGAAAGGATGATTAAGTAAAAGGAACTATATAATTTATGTTCATAAAACCCTCTAATTGGGGGAGGGTTGTTTCTGGCTGTTAATAAAGGAAGTCTACTTCTTATTTGAAGAAATGCCTAAGATAACCTAGATTTGGCATGAAAAATGGTGGCAAGTCAACAGCCCACTCTGAATGTGCTTCATTTTTCTTGGAAGCTACATCTGCATAGGGAGATAATTTTATTTTCTTCTGACACTGTTTTTTTCTGCAGTGGATACCATAGCCTTTTTGAAAATGCTAATCTGATTTAAAATGTGATATTACATGTTAAAGGATTCCTCTGTTACTTTCTGGGTTATCTAATGGATTTAACAAGAGTATTCTCTCAGGCAGTTGGCTGTTCTGAAGGCCATTCCATGGTCACTGGGCTGCATGCTTACCAGATCTTAATGGTCTGTGCTTGGGGTCAGTTGCCCTGTGCATGGACACACAGGTTGGTGAGATGCCCCACAATTTTTTGCACTTTCCCAGGTCAGGGTGAAGGGATGAAGTTGGAGACTGTGCCATAGATGGGCAGTAGAATATTTTTTTTCCCTCTACCTACTTGGTTGTCTCAATAGGGAAGCACAGGTTTTATGTGGAATTGAACATGGTTTAAAGTAGGAAGATCAAGTGTGCCTGTAGCCACTGAGATGATAAAATTTATTATAATGAACCTGTCAATATTCATTCATAATTTCTTGTGGAAAATTTCAGTGTATGCCCAAAGCTCTGTGGGTCAGAGCTTATATGTTTTATTATGGTGAATTTTCCATTGTAAATTGCTTGATAAATTGTAAATTTACTTTGAAGGATTTAGATGAGGGTTATGGAAAGTTTTAGTTCCTAAATCTCCCCATTTTGGCATATACGTTTATCCTTCTTTGGTTGTCTGTAAGTATACAGCACTTTGCAAGATACTAAACTGTTTTCCTGGTAAGAATTTCAGGTTTGCTGCAACTCTAGTAGACCATGAGTCAGGGTGCCTTGGTCAGGGTGGAGGAGAGGAACCCATAAGGATAAAGTCTCTAATAATATCCTATGACTAGATGATGCAAAAAGGCTCCACCTCCTCCAGGTACCTGTGCACAGATGCAGACAGTGAAATAGTGACTTGTAGCTGGCATCGGGGCCGCAGGATAAAGGGCTTTGTTTCCTGAGGCTTCCAGGACAATCTCTGAATTGCCTGTTGGCTTTGTCCTTAATATGAGGTGTGAGTATTGTTTTCTCTGGAAGCCAGGGCAAAACTGGTTGTGGGGACCATTTGTAATTGGGATGTAGCCTGGAAAGTGAGTTGGAGTGAAGGAGTTTGACAGAAATGAAATGACTTGAGGATGGAGACAAAAATATCTTGGATGTGATAGTTTTGTCTGTTGGTTTGCATGTCATTATTTCCCCAGTTCCCTGCAGTTGCCTTCCCTGCAAGAGGCGCAGTGCACACTGAATTGAAGGAGGAGGAGGAAAATAATGAGAGCAGGCCTTCTTTCCCCCTGCCTGAAAGTACCAGACTCTGGAATTATTAGTTCCATCCAAAATTACTTCTCTCTTTTTAGCCATCGCTCAACAGAATGTAGGTGTCCCCTCCCCCAACTCTGCTGTTTTTCCCAGCTCTTTATAAGAACATCTGCTTTCTTTCAACCTTTACACTCTTAGTTAAAAC